TCCATTTTACTAGCAGACCTAATAAAACACACTTTCAAACAGCGTTCTGCATTTACCTCTATCATACGGTTTTAAAAACGAACTTAACAACATTAACCATGCTACATTTCCATAGTAAACGTCATGTTTGGTTCAGTTGATCTATTACCATATAAGACATTCACTTCTCCATGCGTCGTAAACTATATCCTATTTCTCTTGTAATCAACTAAAATCATAGCCACGCAATTAAACCATCACCCCGCCATTACAGAATGAATGAGATCTATTAATCTATCCTTTCTAAGTAAGCTACAAGTAACACCAAACACTTGCTGTAGTTTACCATCATATATTGAAATCATCCATTTATCACAATCCAATTTATTTATAGACATATTCCACCATTGTCACTCGTTTAATCTAGCAAAACCTTATTCAATGACAAAAAAATTACTACCACGTACTCTCCGTTAACATTTTTACATGTTAGTCATTTATCAGATGCTCCCATTCCAATCGACGCACAATTCGTGAGCTCATACATTTTTATACTTATACTAGCCCCCCTTGGGAATTGAACACCCAACCCTGGCGTTGCAAGCACCGTGCTCTACCAACTGAGCTACAGAGGACCACAGATGAGCGTATAGTGCCTTTTTCTGATAATGTTATAATTGTAGCCTATTGCATTACTTTAGTTTAAAATATAAGTTTGTTTATTCAACAAATCTAGAACCCACTATAAATTGGTGTTATTCACTCAGCATAATAGCCAAAGCTCCTTGCATCCCCTGGTTCACGTAAGGAAAATACATTATCATTCTATTCAACTATCTAACATTACCAACTATTCGCATACATCACTGGTTTCACACAAACTATAGAATAAAGTAATAACAATTAGAATGTGTCAAATAAATGCTTTCCATCCAACTATTGAAACTTGCTTCAAATATCTTTCAGCTCGATACAGTCAAACAAGTATGACTCTCTTTTACCCGGAAACTAGTTCATGGCATGAGTAAAGTCTATTCACATCCCAACAATAACTAATAATATATTTATATTCATATTATTAAAAGACCTTACTTTCATTCCAGTCTACCTAAACAATTCAAATTATGGCCAAAACTCTATCCAAATTGCCAGTCCGCTATTCAAATGTATGTAACTGTCTTTTCTGATTAGACTATAGACACTCCTCCTTCTTTCCAGTTGAATAAGTGAGTCCTTCAGTCTGAAAAGACGCAGGCTGCTAAATCGTCCAGTCTTATCCTGACTGTTCCGTCAATCTAAACAACCCACAACCATAGTTAAACTATACTTAGAAAACCTAGACTCTGATCAGCGATGCAGAATCTATGCTTTATTGAAAAGACAAGTTAATCCTCCTTTATTTCAATGATAATGGTCAGTAGTTTTAGTATCTGGCACATACCACACTTTATCAGAAAATAGCTTTGAAGGACACAGATCTCACACGCTCAACGTAAACAACTTAGCAGTCAACGAGTCAAACCCCACATTCATTGATTTGGAAACAGATCTAACGACCTAACCAAATGAATTATATTTTCCCCCTAATATACTAAAATTCCTTGACTATATTACTTCTGCTTCTGAAATAATAGTTTATTATAATGCTTAATTCCACCACATGCTCTATGTACTTTCTCCCATCCCCACGTACGTCTGTACGTGTTTGGGCGTGCAAGTCAACACCTATAATGTTATCCAATGACTTGTAATAAATTACACTCCCATCAAATTCATTCTATTCTAATATATTCACATCAACCAAACCATTCATGTTTCTAATGATTCTTTATTGCCACAAATCAGTTGATCACAATCTAGTCTCAGCGGAACGAACAACAAATTACCCAAATCCTTCCCCTCAGTCATAGAATCCTCCCAGAATCATATATGCTGGTCACTATTCCCTGATCTTACAAAATTCTATGACAGGCATTGTTGTACAAAATTCCAAGATATCATTTACAAGAAAATGTTATTCCAACGTATATATAATTATCATACACACCTCTATATCTCATCATTCAAACTTCAGAGTGCGACTAATTTACACCATTATACCACTTTTATACCATATTTATACAATGTTGTCCTCAAACGCGCTTAATTACTATTTGTATAACCTACAGGAATATTTTATTCTATCAAAGGGCCCAAATTTGGAATGTTAACCCTATCCTAGTTATTATTTTACTGTAGTCAATTTATCATAATACTACATCACCTCTAAAGTTTCTAAATATAATGTCAGAAACATACCCTAAAAGATTGATCAAAATATAATGCATAGACGTCATATGATCACACCGGTACACGTGACCTGTTCCTCCAACAGGATTTATTCTACCCCTCCTGGTAACGTGAATTTTCTACACTCAGTTGGTCAATGAATATCCACGCACCATTTATTCTTCTCTTTCCTAATGTGAGATTGGGCACGCCCTTTTTCCATCAGACAGAAGCTTCAAACGACCTCAAATATTTGTTACTTTCCTTACAGGAAGGCTATTTACTTGCAGGATTTCTTATTATTCTCACTCACACAGATGAACAGCCACTTGTGCCCAAATGAATCAGACAGTTGAATGACTCACAGCCGCCCAAGCAAACCACTCACCCACACAAGATGAGCAGACCTACTCTATTTAACACTTTCTCTATATTTTGAAGCCCTTGTGACTATTTAACCCGTTCACCTACTCAGGATGACCGCTTTCACCTACGCCGGATGACCTAACTTTTTTACCTGATCGACCCTACCTAACTTTGGCATCACCACAACACAGGATGATGCCCCACCTACCTGAGCAGACCTCTAACAATGAATTCCTCATTAGAGCGGTAACCGTAGGTCCCAAATTTAGCTAGCCACCTGCCCGTTCAGCCCTCTGGAGCGCTAATTTTAGCTCTCCAAAGCGGTATCCACAGGATTTCTATTTATTTAGCCCCCTAGGTGATACACTTCCTCAACACACCTGGACTTCTACTACGCTTTCCTAAGCGACCTGTAAATTCTGCCCTATTTTTTCTGTTACACTTCCTCGACACAGAAAAAGAAGCGGTATTACACAGGATTTCTGCCTACCTAAGCAGCCTATAAACGATACACCTCCGCTACACGTTTATAGCGGTATTCGCAGGACTTAACATGTTATTGTCTGATCGCTCAACCAGATGGACAACCGCCCGTGCCGAAATGACCCAGACAAAGCGATCAGCAGGATGAATCAAATGAATCAAATCAATTGAACAGACGGTTCAGACAAACAACAGAGTGACATTGACATGTATTCTTAAATTCAAAAGCTCCTAGTCTCAAATTTTCTGGTTCTTAAATTTGGAGAGACCTACTTGGTATTTCTGCAGCTGATGCCGTGCCACGGATCGGACCACACAAACGTTTATACTATATAAGTAAGAACTTGGCTTACCTGTTAAAAGCGGCCGCTTTTGTTTGTATGGTCCGTCCAAGCCGTTTCACAACTGCAGGTGTACACTGTCTCTGGCCCCTGTTGTCAACTCCTGGCAAAGCTCGCCAAATATGTCGTAGAAATATTTGACTCAAAAAGTAAAAAAGTAGTCAACTTAAAAATATTTCTCAAGAGACTGGAACTTGTGAATTTAGACTCTTATTATTTGCATAACAAAGCCGAGCTTGCTCCATGGAGCAACAACTGCTTGTCCTGAACCGGAGTGCTCCTTTTTATACAGACACATGCATAGCCACACTGATACAGCTGATAGTTCCTCCCTATGTGAATGAATAACATCTTTCAGTATCACATGTTGGCTACTCACGAGGGCTATTTGCGCTTCTCTAAGTGGGGCCTCTGTATCTTATTAGTGGCATGACTCAAAAAATTATGTACATACGTACGTTAAAGAACAATCACCCTCTGTATTGACTATATTCATTATCCAGGCATGCATCTGGAGTACAAAGTATCAATCATGTTCATTCTGTTTCACCATTATCATTTCATAACACATTATAAAACATAACCATTAATACTTAAACATGATTTAAACATGTCATCCATAACCCATTCTCAACCACATACATTTAAACATTTATCATTTACCATCCTCCCTGGCCCTTGAGATTATGTGCATGTGGCCATGTGTCAGGTCATAAGGTCATAAGCACAAAGAAATGATAACACTAGTTCCATTGTTACTCCAATCTCCACACAGCCATCACGAGGAGTTGTATCTCCATCACATGTCATTGACATACCCAGACCAGCTGCAGGGAGTTTATGAAAAACACATAAATGTCCCTGCTCTGTATTAACCCTTCAACTGGTTCTCAATCCATAAACATTTTAAGGCATATAGGTGTTTAATTCTACAACATATGTACTTGAAAATCATCTATAACGGCTGGCGACCGAAGACAGCGTGCATGCGCCCGGCCATCACAAGGAGTTGCTAATGCGCGATGGGAAAAGGACATCACAGCCAGCCAAACCCTCCCCAACCCGGACGACACTGGGCCAATTGTGCGCCGCCTCATGGGTCTCCCGGTCGCAGCCAGCTGCGACACAGCCCGGGATCGAACACGGTTCTGTAGTGACGCCTCTAGCACTGCGATACAGTGCCTTAGACCGCTGCTGCACTCAGGAGGCCCCAAACAATTGTAATTTTGAGAGTAAAAAACAAACAAAATATAATACCAGGAAAAATAAAACTGAATTTTGGGAAAAAAACTTTTTTATAGGGCTTAGAGTTGTTTATTAACAATTATTTTACCGGGTATATTGACGGAAAACAGTGTACTACTTTCTCTTGTACACTAAGGACCTGGGGAAGAGTTGCCAATCAGCCAATTAAAACCGTTGACTGTTTTCGCCGCTCCTGCCATAGACTCCCAGTCAAGTCCCGTCTCGACAGAGAGAGCTGGCTGGTGGGCGAGGCTCTCTCCGCATTACTGTGATTTGACATTTATCACAGCAGTGGTTGTGAAAAGAGATTAGGAAAAGATGACCAAGTCAACATTGTGTGTATTCTTTTTTTCCAAAGGCAAGCAGGTGAGTGAATCGAAGGAGATGGACAAGGTGATGTACCATGACTGGCGTCTGGTGCCCAAACACAAGGAGGAGCAGTTCAAACTCTACAACCCTGTTCCCGAGCCCCCCATACGCTATGTGTCGTACCCGCCCCTGCTCCGTGCCATGCTCCTCGCCCAGCGGCAGGAAGATGAACTAGGGGCGGCGGCTGAGGAACCAACCTTACCCCTGAAGAGGGATGTCCTACTAAGCAAAGAGTACTTCAGAAGTCAGGAGAAAGAGAGGGAGAGGCAGGAGGAGACAGCAGTGTGAGAGAGGGGTCAAGAGGAAAAGAGGTGAAAGGTTACCTACAAGGGACTGTGATGTCAACATGGATAGATCCTACACCCTTCGTCCAAAAGCATTGAAATGTTGCAAGCATGGATGAAGGGAGTTTCGACCATATCCTTTGCACCAATCCATTCCTTTTAAATCCATGAGGGGGTGTAAGAGTGCACATCTCAGGAGAAGGGTAGAGAATTGGACCGCTGCTATAGCCGTTTCTTTTACATTCATATCAGCCTTCTTTAACAATTATTCTGTATAGAAAGAATTTGGATCATCAGATGGACATGAGTGACAGCTTGCTGTAAGGTTTCCACAACTGGCACGTGACTCTTACGCATATTGTGATGTGATGCTTGTGTGTTTGTATTGTGAATATTACAATATAATACTACATTGTGAAAAGAATGGGCACTCTTAGTTTTTATTAAACCGGATTCATTGGATGGCTGGGTTAAGATAGTTTTTATTATTCTCCCACCCATGTAAAAGCAATTATTATTCCACTTCCATGCATGATAGATGACAAATTGGTCCGGGTGACTTTGAAACTCGTGGCTGAACAGGAGAGGGCGCGCCATCAAGCATTCTTCAGTCACCTGGCTGACTACGACAAAGATTATGGATATACTGACAAGATACAGTGGGGAAAAAAAGTATTTAGTCAGCCACCAATTGTGCAAGTTCTCCCACTTAAAAAGAAGAGAGAGGCCTGTAATTTTCATCATAGGTACACGTCAACTATGACAGACAAAATGAGAAAAAAAATCCAGAAAATCACATTGTAGGATTTTTAATGAATTTATTTGCAAATTATGGTGGAAAATAAGTATTTGGTCAATAACAAAAGTTTCTCAATACTTTGTTATATACCCTTTGTTGGCAATGACACAGGTCAAACGTTTTCTGTAAGTCTTCACAAGGTTTTCACACACTGTTGCTGGTATTATGGCCCATTCCTCCATGCAGATCTCCTCTAGAGTAGTGATGTTTTGGGGCTGTCGCTGGGCAACACGGACTTTCAACTCCCTCCAAAGATTTTCTATGGGGTTGAGATCTGGAGACTGGCTAGGCCACTCCAGGACCTTGAAATGCTTCTTACGAAGCCACTCCTTCGTTGCCCAGGCGGTGTGTTTGGGATCATTGTCATGCTGAAAGACCCAGCCACGTTTCATCTTCAATGCCCTTGCTGATGGAAGGAGGTTTTCACTCAAAATCTCACGATACATGGCCCCATTCATTCTTTCCTTTACGCGGATCAGTCGTCCTGGTCCCTTTGCAGAAAAAACAGCCCCAAAGCATGATGTTTCCACCCCCATGCTTCACAGTAGGTATGGTGTTCTTTGGATGCAACTCAGCATTCTTTGTCCTCCAAACACGACGAGTTGAGTTTTTACCAGAAAGTTATATTTTGGTTTCATCTGACCATATGACATTCTCCAAATCCTCTTCTGGATCAGCAAAATGGACTCTAGGAAACTTCAGACGGGCCTGGACATGTACTGGCTTAAGCAGGGGGACACGTCTGGCACTGCAGGATTTGAGTCCCTGGCGGCGTAGTGTGTTACTGATGGTAGGCTTTGTTACTTTGGTCCCAGCTCTCTGCAGGTCATTCACTAGGTCCCCCCGTGTGGTTCTGGGATTTTTGCTCACCGTTCTTGTGATCATTTTGACCCCACGGGGTGAGATCTTGCGTGGAGCCCCAGATCGAGGGAGATTATCAGTGGTCTTGTATGTCTTCCATTTCCTAATAATTGCTCCCACAGTTGATTTCTTCAAACCAAGCTGCTTACCCATTGCAGATTCAGTCTTCCCAGCCTGGTGCAGGTCTACAATTTTGTTTCTGGTGTCCTTTGACAGCTCTTTGGTCTTGGCCATAGTGGAGTTTGGAGTGTGACTGTTTGAGGTTGTGGACAGGTGTCTTTTATACTGATAACAAGTTCAAACAGGTGCCATTAATACAGGTAACGAGTGGAGGACAGAGGAGCCTCTTAAAGAAGAAGTTACAGGTCTGTGAGAGCCAGAAATCTTGCTTGTTTGTAGGTGACCATATACTTATTTTCCACCATAATTTGCAAATAAATTCATTAAAAATCCTACAATGTGATTCTCTGGATTTTTTTCCCTCAATTTGTCTGTTTTAGTTGACGTGTACCTATGATGAAAATTACAGGCCTCTCTCATCTTTTTAAGTGGGAGAACTTGCACAATTGGTGGCTGACTAAATACTTTTTTTCCCCACTGTACATGTCTCTCCGCCCTAACATTGGGAGTCGCCCATAAAGCGGCACGGCGGCCTGTCTAGCTCCTGCCTTACTTTGGATTGGTGGATACATCTCATTATTGTAATCCTTTTTTGAATATTCAATGAGGGTTGTTGATGTCAATCGCCTGTATTCAATGGAGAGAGATGCTATGCTACTAGCCTCATGCCATGAATATGCGTAGTCATCTTGTCAACTCCGATATAACGTGTTTTTTATCAAAGTTGTCGGGATGTCACGTGTCCTACTCATATCAGTACACTCGTAACAATTTAAGCATTACGAAACTTATATTAGATCAAATAATAACCTTGTGCTTAATACGGGCAAAACTAAATACATGTTTTTAAACACATAAGAATGTTTCCGATTAACTACATGTTCACTCGTTAGATGGTTCTCCAATCTAACTTGTTCCCACATATAAATACTTAGGCATATGGATTGAAATGGATTTGACGTTTAAAAACAGATTGTGCCTTTCTCTAAGCCCACCCAACTACCTCATCCCTATATTGTTATTTATTTTGCTCATTTGCACCCCAGTATCTCTATTTGCACATCTATCATTCCAGTGTTAATACTAATTGTAATTATTTTTGACTATAGCCTATTTATTGCCTTACCTCCATAACTTGCTACATTTGCACACACTGTATATATATTTTCTGTTGTATTTTTGACTTTATGTTTTGTTTTACCCCATATGTAACTCTGTGTTGTTGTTTGTATGCACGCGTGACTGTAAGTCGCTTTGGATAAAAGCATCTGCTAAATGGCATATTATTATTATTATTATTATTTATCGCACTGCTTTGCTTTATCTTGGCCAGGTCACAGTTGTAAATGAGAACTTGTTCTCAACTGGCTTACCTGGTTAAATAAAGGTGGGAAAAAAAAACAGTAGGAAGCAGATTATTCAGTCAACCTTTTTATCTGTTCTTGATTATGGTTATATTATTTATCAAAGTGCAGCTTCTACTACTCTTAAACCTTGGGATGCCATCATTTAGTGACCTTGGTTTTGTTACAGGTGACAGTTTTGATACTTATCACTGCATCCTGTGTCAAAAGGTTGGATGGACTTCGCTAAAGACCTGTAGATCTCTACATCACTCTCTTTTTGTTTACAAGGCCCTACTTCAAACAACAAATGGTACGTTGTAATACACTACCCCTACATGCCATTGTGTGCTGGAGCTATGGGACATTCACACCTGCACTGAATTGAATGGGGGATGCATAACTACTTTTCACCGAAGGACGGAAACGAGGTACAACATACAACTTCGATTGAAGACCTAAAATCACACCAGTATCATAACGGTAACCTATTATAGTGGATACAGCAGTAGCCTATTCTACAATAATGACTGTGCTAGCATTATTTATCTAATTGATCAATAAAATGTGGATGGACACTTCATTCAATGATTACAGTATTGTACAAGGTAGATACAGGAGTAGGCTATAGTCTACAATAATAATCATGAGTCATTGAATGTGCTATAGTATCATTTATTTAATTGAAGAATGAAATCGTAAATGGGGATGGGTAGGCTACTTCATTCAGTGAAAACTGAATGTCTTGCTATCTTTGGGAGCATGTTAATGAAGGCTTTTCAGCTGTTGAACTATGGCAATGTCGAACTAATTTCTAAATCTGTCTTTCTTTTAGTCAAGACGATGTGATAGCTAGAGCAACCAATCAGCTTCACTGCAGCTGTTCAACCCACCACCCCCACCACTCTCCCTCCACAAGCAATCACATCCTCTTCTCCTGTTCAACTAATTTGCCGCCACACAGAAAAGGACTGTACATACCGGTGTGCCCATGTCAATGGGGTGCCTAAATTTGATAAATGTAAACAAGATGCTACAGTAGTGTGTGTGTGTTTATGGATGGAGTTCCCAGAAAATACATGAGTGTGATGTGCCCCTCTGTGTCAATGTTGAAAAGCCATAAATGGAAGATGGAAAAGGAGATAGTGATGTGAGTGAGAGCGTATGAAAATAAAGACCCCTTGGCAGTGCTTAATTTGTAAATTGGGAGGTGCTGGAACAAAAAGTGAGCCCGAGGGGGGTGAGCCAGTGTGCGCTGAGGTACCAGAACGCATAAAAAAAATCTACTTTAAAATAAAGCATTGCATGCATTATCATTTATTTTGCATACCAGCATAGATCAGTAGAGGCGCTTGCAGAAGTTGCACACATGGGGAAAATGCTTATAGCCTAGGGTTCGGGAAATATGTGGCCTTAATAAATGCATTTCATGCAATTCTACATAATTTTAGATGACTGGAGACTTTAGCAGAATATTTTTTTAATAACTCACAAATGATTGAAATGACAGGCTAATTTGACACTAACAAACTGAGAATCTGAGATCAATAAAAACGACCTTGTCTTCAATACATCAATAGCCTAGACCTACTGTAGGTGTGTGGAGACACACATATTGTACAATTATAGTCCTAAAAAAGCTTTCCAGTTTCACTGACTCACCCATTGATGCTCAGCCAGGGTCGGCCCTGGACGTTCTGCCACCCTAGGCGAGAAAAAAATATGCCCCCCTCTCCCCCCATGTTTCTCAATGTCAATTTTTTTTATCTCCTCAAATATTATAGGCTGCAGCTCAGCTTCGGAATGTCATAGAGAGGAATCAATATATCCTCATATGCATCGGAGTCACGTCTTTCGCAGGCATTTTAGAGCTTGTTTCTA